AGGGAGGCAGAGGTGAAGGCTAATGCAGTCTACCTACTCTCAAAAAGGGGAAAAAACTGTTAGCTACCTATAGGCTCTGATTTTCAGACAATTCCATTCCCACACTGCCCTGGTCTTGTCCCTCTCTGATCCAGTTCTGTATTTGGCAACAGGTGCACAAGAGACAACACTCACTAGAAGGCAATATGCAAGCCATGCTCAGGATCTATTGTTGAGACTTAGGATCTGGTCATATATTTATCAAATAAAATGCAACCCAACCTAAAAGACAATTAATCTGCTTAGATGTGCTACAGCCAAAGCAGAAGACTGTGATGCCAGGTTTGCTCATGTCATTCAACCTACAAATACTTGGTTCCACCCAAAATTTAGCTCAGTTAGGCTGTAGATTCTGTTTGACCTATATATGGTACAAGTTAAAATTTAAAAGTCTTGCTAGTCATATAAATATTTGAGCCTATCAAAAGCTTAAGACCTGATTACAAACCAGTAGAAATTCACCTGCAGAGCTCACTCAGCAAACAGCAGCTTAAAAGTAAAGTACAACATGTTAAAATGATATTTTCATTGGTTTGTAATATCGCATAAATGTTTTCAATTCTAATCTACCTCTTGAGATAGTGGAAAAATAATAGTTCATATTCTTGAGCTAGATATAAGATAGCTCTAAATTTTTCTGCTAAAATACATTAAGATATATTCCTATACGTGTACATAAAAGATGAAAATCAAAATCATTCCAAGTATAAATGATCTTGAAAACTGTTAAAACAGTTCCTAAAATGATATTTCTCTTGAAAAACTAATCAAATAGAAGGCTTGCAAAGATCTATAAAGCTAAAAAAAAAAGAAGTGAAGGCTACATTCTTTAACTGATTTATTAAAACACAGTAAAAATATATTTCTAGCAACACTATATACAAAACTGCCACGTTTCATGAACATGCTTCGAATTTAGAAAACTACTGTGATGTTTATTACTTAATCTAAATCTTCATAAATTTAACATTGTTATTATACATAAATCATTTCTTTGGACTGTAAGCTCCATTCACTGCCATATCCTCAATTTCAAGAATACTGTATCATGCAGTGAGCATTCAATAAGTACACAAAAAACTTAAAATAATATTTAAATATAGTATATACTCAATGTTACTCAAAAAATAATTAGCATCTTTGTGAATTATTATTCATGTTCTCCCTGAAATTGATCTCTCTCAACAGGTATTCCTCAAGGTCATTTCTCTAGCTCTTGTTTATAGTTTATTCAATAACTGCAAACTACATTTAACTGTAAAAGTAAAGCAAATGTACAAATTAATAAACTACCTCTTTCCTAGCCATGCTTATCATGAGAACATGACAAACTATACTTAATCTACAGATCTAATTCCAATTCCCGTGACTTGTGGTAGCTGAGCTATGTTTTAGGCTGGTATATTTTACCCTCAAATGTGTAGTTCCCATACATTGTGCAGTTTCAGCAAAATGGTATGTGGATTTCTCAAAACATTTTAGAAAAGCTACAGAAATTTTAGAAATTAAAATCATAAAGAATGCATCAGGCTAGGAATCAAGAAAGCTCAGTTCTAATTTCGGTCTTTCCCAGAATCTGTAACTCTTGAGTAAGAGGCAACTTCTCTGTGACTTGGTTTCTTCATCAATATCTGACCATAAAACTGTTACAGGGGTAAGTAAGATGACACTCTAAAAAAATTCTTTAAAAAAAGGATAATATTATATAGATAAGGTATTGCTATTACTTCAAAGTAATGTAAAATGATGACGTTTGGATAGACCATTATTTTTGCTAATGCTCTACCAGCACAGGAAAATGAGAAGTTAGTGTAGTTTTGTTTTGTTTTTAAAGATTTATTTATTTATTTTAGAGAGAGCATGCACACAGAAGTGGGAAAGGGGGAACAGAGGGAGAGGGAGAAAGAATCTCAAGCAGACTCCATGTCAAATGCGGAGCCCAACATGGGGCTTGATCCCATGACCCCCAAATCACAACCTGAGCCAAAAACCAAGTCTGATGCTTAAAAGAGTGAGTCACCCAGGTGCCCCAAAGTTAGTGTAGTTTTAATAATGTTCAAGCTTATCAACTAAAGCATCTAGTAAGTATATATGAAATTAGATTATGATGTACAGAAGCAGATCACCAAAATATTTCTGGGGCTTAAACTGAGAAATATTTAACATGGAAGTATGATCAGAAATACCTCATTAACACAGCTTTACTTACTATATCAAATGTTTCATTAATAATGCTTTCTTAACCAGTACCATCAAGTTGCCAGAAAGCATTAATATGCTCAAAAGCTTAAATTTGGAAAAGTACAACTTATAAATGCCTCGTAAGTCACACATCACAAGACAGAAATTACAAGCAACTTAAAATGTTAATGTATTAGCTTAATTCTTTATGGAAGATGTCACAAAATTATCGTTCTACTCCTGGAGCATACTGGATAGCGAGAGACCTTAGGAATGAAATGAAATGCCTGAGCTGCACTGGACCTTCCATTAGTTCCCCCCAAACAGGTAGTTTAGACAGGAGCTGGATGAAAAAAGGCAAGATCAGAAGTCTGGACAGGTGAATAGGTTTCCTGAATGGAAATGTCATCCTTATTTAAAACAAACTATGAGAATGCTCATAAATACATGCAACATCACCTGGCACATTCGATGTAATATTAATCATCCACTTTTCTGAATTACAATCACTGCTTCTATCCTCTGCAAAGCAGCTACTGAAATGCAGACACCACATTTTAGGGACAACTTGAAGACAACAATGGCAGTAAGTAAATCAAACTTTTAATTACGTAATTGTGGAACCAAGCAGTTACACTTTTTCTTCCTTGTAAGTAAACATTTTCACTTTAAAATGAAAAACCTTTGACACTAGATTGGTTTTTCTTTTAAATAATAGTTAATCATCTTCTACCAGCAAACATTTTTTCCCCTTTGAAATTACAACCAGGACAAACCTAGATAGTTCTCAAAAAATTTCTAATGTTAAAGACATACAGTGTAAGAATGATGATATAATTACTGGAAAAAAAATACATTATTTATACTGGTAACCCTGAAGATACAGCGAAACTAATATTGTTACTGAAAAGTTACAGAAAAATTATCATGGTATTCATAATTAGACCTATTCAAGGCTAAGATAAATAATCCCAGCATTAACCATAAAATGCTGAGGTATCATCAGCATTAGACTAATGCTCTAAGTCTAAGGCACTGGAAATCTTAGTAGAGATGACAATACAAATCTATATCAAAAAGCCACTGTGACGACTAATTTCAAATTTCAACCCCTGGAGGGGGCGCTTGGGTGGCTCAGTCATTAAGCGTCTGCCTTCGGCTCAGGTTGTGATCCCAGAGTCCTGGGATTTGAGCCCCTGCTTGATGGGAAGCCTAGCTTCTCCCTCTCCCACTCCCCCTACTTGTGTTCCCTCTCTTGCTGTGTCTGTCAAATAAATAAATAAAATCTTAAAAAAAAAAAAATCAACCCCTGGAAAAAATAACGGTTGTTCTGTAAAATAATACTGCCTATGATTAGAACAATAATGATAAAATAACCAGCTCTCGAACAATACTTAAAATCACAAAACTGAAACAAGAAACTTTGTTATTTCTGAAACTATGCTCTTACACTATTCCTTAACGTAATATTTCACTTACCTTCAAAATCCAGTTAGGATTAAAATTAGTATTATATGATGTTACTGAGGATTCTCTATAGGATGAAAAATAAATTTGAGTAGATGAATTTGCTAAGGGTCAATCTAGCTAACTAAATGACGTGAATAAAGTGCGTACAAAAGCTGAGGAATGAATAGAAGCAGAATACCTATTACTCATTTACAAGTTTAGAATCTTATGAAGGAAGATGTTACATTTTCCATAACACCAATTATATATTAAATGCCTTAAAAAGCGGAGATGAGGAAGGAGAAGACAAACTGTTAGGCTATACTGAAAGGCTATCGTCACTCCAGCGAAAATGACAAGTAAAATGGATTCAACTCTAACACGGTTTAAAAGAAGGCTGTTATACGCAACTAATGAATCGTTGAACACTACATCAAAAACTAATGATGTACTATATGTTGGCTAACTGAACATTAAAAAAAAAAGTTAAAAAAAAATTTTAATTTAAGAAATTAAAAAAAAAAATAAAAGAAGGCTGTCTGAGCAGCACAGTATCAGCTCCACTCTGAGGACAACTGAAGCCCCCTGTGGGTTCATGTGGCATAATTCAAGGAGAGAATGTCGTGAGCAGACTGAAATAAGGATCACCAGTAATTACTAGGTGTTCAGCGTATCCCATGACCAGCATATATACTGATTTATTTCTTTTGAGGGATATTATTGTTGTTCTCAAGTGCAAATGAGGAAAGAAGGCACAACGCAATTAGTAATGATGAGGCCAGGAGACCAGAATGGATTCCTTGAGGAAATGGGAAAAAGGTGACCTATGTGGCTGTTTTACATTCATGTATCAAAGTAAATACTTAAAAGTTCAAGATTATAATTTTAAAGGCGGGATATTTTAGAGGTTTCTGATTTTTTGTTCCTATTTAGCAGTTAAAGGAATTTTTGTAAAGGCCTATGATTAGCTCAGAAAAAATTCGTTGTGAAAATTCATGAAGTAACAGGGAATGAAGCAATTTCAGTAAATCTCCTCAAAACCAAAGAGTAAGCATTACAACTTAAATGAGTTTTGAGGGTCACATGTTTTCTGTAAGTGAAAGACTAAACCCTTTGCTCTGCTAAGACAAGAAAAGCTATTTCAGATTAAGATTTTAACTCTACTTCCTGTACTAGGATTACTAGGAACATAATTTATCTGTCTTAGGAGTACACTCCAAACTTCAAAGCTCAGCTTACATTAATTCTACAACAGGGATGGATAGAGAGATGGATACATGGATGAACTGTAAATGGTTCTCCCAAATTTTAAAAGCTACTTTTTAACTTACCATCTTTTTTCTCTTATCCTGTTCTGTGGGTGGTTCTTCATCCTCTGTAACTTTTGGTTCTTCAAGATGAGACATTAACATACAGCTACAAAAAAAAAAAAGTTTTTAAGTAAATAAAAAACATCTGTAACATGCTGAAACAAAGCCTGTAAATCACTGCGAATATTAATGCTTCTATGTACCAAAATGTGAGGAATAGCTAGATAAATCAGATTTATAATTTTAAGATTTAATTACAAAGATGTACCTCACTTTTTAGAAAAAGGGCCATACCAAAATATTTTAGAACATATTACTTGAGAATTGAAGGCAGCAAGTTACAGGGAATTTATGTATACGTGATTTTTAAGCCATATATCACTTGACAAAGCAAGGTGTACCGTTTACGTTTTTCTAAAAAAATGATACTACAGACACTTATGATTAACCCTTCTTTTACCACCAATCTTCATATGTCTGTAGATTATCATACATGTTTCATAACAATAGCAATAATTTAAATAATAACCTCATTAAAACAACATTAATTATGCAATAATCTACTCTGTGCTCCAAATGACATTACTATGCTATGAGGAACTTGTCCCTGAGAGCACGTGTACCTGTAGGACAGTTATAAATCATTTTATTTTGATTATCTGCACCCCTGCTCTTCACCATTAACAGAGATAACAGAAATATAGTTTCCTATTTAGTCAATAGTTTCTCTCTTCCAGGGAGAGAAGAAATAAATACTGTCTAGTGAATCCAGTTGATGGAATAAACCTCACTGCTTCCTAATTTAGAACAGCAGAATTCAGTAATTTATCAGAGTCAAAGGTTCCTAACCAATAAACTGTGGCAAAGAAAGCTTGGTTTCTCTTATGTTTTGTAGCAAGTACAGAGGAAACATAACTCCTGACTCAGCTGTGTAAATAACTTTTAATTCAAGGTTAAAGACAAGTGCTGACACCAGAAACTTGATCAGGCTCACTCCTGCAGCGGATATGAGCGTCCCTTTCCCCCTATTCCCCAGCATTAAAAAAATCAACTTTTCGAAACTACTTCTGACCCAGTCAGTGCATACTGGTGCATTCAATCAGAAACAGCAAGAGCTTAATTCCTAACCCACTGCATGGTCTTAACCTCTTGACACTGCAATGCTTTCATCCACCATGATATAATACGATATAGCACAACTAGTTGGCCAAGGGATTCTGGCACTAAGTGAGAAATTATATTATTATTTAGTAATAATATTACTAAAAAGTAACGTTATTTAGTAAAATGAAATGTCTAGAAAACAATATAAATCCCACTTTATATTTTAGAACTGAATAATAAGGAGTTCCTTCATACTTGCTATTTTATGCCGGCTGCAGATTTGAATTCTAACTGCAGTGAATTTGGATCTCCAGGAAAGTATGCTTTATGTTGCATGAAGTTCCTTCACCACATTCCTAAATCTGTTAACTTATCTGAATAGTAAAAACTCTCTTTCTCCTCTCCCTAAATTAAATGATTTATCACATATATAATGGAGTATATTCTGCATATAAATATACATTTACACATATAATTTTTTTCCAGAGACCAAAATTATTGAGAGGGCAGAATATTTTTCCTCTGCAATTCTGTAAACTGCATTCACTTGGGTCTCTGGAAGGTGTAAATTGAGAGAAAAAAAATGAATTTGAAAAACCTAAAGATGAAATTCTCTCCTGCAGGTAGGTTTCCAATTAAAAGTCAAATCTTATTTTTTTGACAAACATTAAAGATAGGGAATCATGTTTTACATAAAAGGCATGGTGGGAATTAATAGATTTCTAATAAGCTAAAATATGTATGCAATGAATGTAATAAGAATAATAATAAAATAGTCTAAACTAGTGACAACTAATATGTGAACCTAGGCAGCCAGACCCTCTCATGTGCTACTCCCACTCACTAAACAGATCCAGGCACTCTAGCCACTTAAAAATTAGAATCTTTCCCAACAAGAAACTCTAACCAATGAAACACAACCAATAGTGTTAGCATGCAACATGAAACCCTTTAAATTATTTCTAATTTAAAAGGTACATGCAATAAAACCTTTCATTTAATCTAAACAAACTCACTTCGGAATGTCACAATAAAACTAGAACTGACAGCATTATTCAACTGTCTCTGCAATGGACACTTTGGTTGGTTGTGTAACCATCCTCCTTCCAGAAGTACCCCGAATGTGCCCAGCACCCTCCTTTCCCATGCCTCTATGTGCATCCATGTCCCCGTCCGCTTCAATGAAAGCTGACCCCAGCCCTAGTGACAGCAGCTCGACAGGCACCATGGCAATCTTACTCCGCTAACCATGACTGCTTTCTACAGAACTACGTTTAAGAAATTCTAGCCGCTTATACATGAAACTGCTGGCTGAATCCTTTCTTTGCACTTCCCAAACTTTGGCAAGGGGTTTGTCAATTTCACTTCCCAATTTGCCTAAAAACAAAATATTACTTCAGGGAAGAAAGGAAAACCACTCTAACCGAAGACAAGTAGAAGGCAAATCTCAAGCCTCACTAATCTATTTTCCTGGCTTAATGAATTAACTGTACTAACCAAAATACAAACATATAAAGAAATCAATGCAAAAGAATGAAACTGGACCACTATCTTACACCTTACACAAAAATTAACTCCAAATGGATTAAAGACTTGAATGTAAGACCTGAAACCATCAAACCCCTAAAAGAAAACTTAAGTGGTAAGCTCCTGACATCAGTCTTCGGGTGATGATTTTTTTGATCTGACGCCAAAGCAAAGGCAACAAAAGTAAAAATACACATGTGGAACTCTACATCAAACTAAAGACAAAATTTAGAGAGAGAACAGAACAGTGGTTGCCAGAGTTGGGAGAGTGGTGGGGGGTGGACAAAATGGGTAAAAGGGGTCAATGATGCAAACTTCCAGGTATAAAATAAGTCATGGAGATATAATATATAGCACAGTAACTATAGTTAGTAACACTCTATTGCATATTTGAAAGGTGCTTAGAGAATTAACCTTAAAAATCCTCATTACAAGAAAAAAAAATTTATTAACTATGGACGGTGATGGATGTTAACTAGACTTACTGTGTTGACCATTTCACAATAAACACAAATACTGAATCATTATGTTGTACACCTAAAACTAATATAATATTACATGTCAATTATACTTCAATTTAAAAAAAGAAAAAAAAAATCCAGATTCTTAAACTCTGAAAATAGAACTCTTCTTTCTTCTAAATGGATTCATTTTATATACCATTCTTAAGAAATACCAGTATCAAGATCAGTAACAGTCAACTGTTAACTACCCATTTATCTTGGAAGAGAAACTTTTCTACTACAAAAAAAAAAAAAAAAGTCCATCTTAAGATAAAAACCCACCTCCATTTTTCCCCACATAAAATGTTACATTTAATTTTTAAAAGCCTATGAGAATACAGTTATGAAGACATATTAAAGCATAAAAACAGACATAGGTTGTTAGGTGTAAGCACCAGTATCTTAAAAATTTATGTATGTCATGTCCCCCAAACTATAAATACTTGTAACTCTCTAGCCACACCCACCTGTCATCATTTCCTGCCAACCTTCCTCCACAATCTATCTCAAACTCCTATCAGCACTAGTAGAACTGCTACCTGAAGGGCTTCTCCATTTCCCAGGCAGTACATTCTCAATTTTTAAAGGGCATGTGAATCATCTAGGGTTCCTGTTTACAAGGCAGGTTCTACTGCCATAGCCCCAAAGATTCTGATATAATGGGTCTGGACTGGGGAAGGGAAATATGCATTTTTAACAAGCATCCCAGGTAGTTTCAACGGTCTAAGACCACTCAGTGTGAGCCTTTCCACCCCTCCCTGTCGTCCTCCACAATGCACTCAAGTGACTCTCCTGACATATAAACCTGTTCTTCGTACTTCCACACTTTAAAACTGCCACATGAACCTCCACTGACGATACAAGCTAGTCCAAATTCCTTTTCATGCTACTTTACTAGTTGGCTCTAATCCACTACATACTCTCATAAGTTATTTGCAGTTTCCCCAAAACCCTCCTTCTTCTGTAGCTGGCATTGCTCCACTGGTCCCCATTTCCCCTTCTAGGTAGTGAACTCCTTCAGGACAGAGCCTCAGCTGCTTCCTCATACAGCACAATGTATGGCATAAACAAGTCTGAATAAAGAGATGAGCTGTCAACCAGGCTTCATTACTGTGGTTAAATATAACACCTGGACTGGACCACAGAATGCCCAGATAATTGGTTAATATTATTCTGGGTGTTTCTAGAGGAGATTAACATGTGAATTTGTACAGTGAGTACCACAGATTGCCCTCCCCAATGTGCGTGAGTCTCAATCAGTTGAAGGCCTGAATAGAACAAAAGGTCTAATTAAAAGAGAATTCACTCTCTGCCTTTTAGTTGGAACATTAGTCTTCTCTGGCTCTGTGACTCAGACTAAAACTTAACACCACTGGCTCTCCTACTTTTAGGCCTTTGGACTTTGGACTTGGACTAAAACTATACTCTGGTTTGCCAATTGGAGATCTTAGGACTTCTCAGCCTCCATAATTGCATGAGTCAACTTTTTATAAATAAATCTATTTACATTTATGTTATTATAAATATGTAACATAAATATAAGTATCTCTCTCTGGCATGCTCTCTCCTTTTATACACATATATATAAAAAAAACTTCTATTGGCTCTGTCTATATGGAAAACCCTAATATACTACTTATAGAGGTAAAAAAAAAAAAACCCAGGGTTTTCTTCCTTTGCTCTAATTTATTCTATACTGAGAATATAATAGGAATTCAATAGAACTAAAAATATTAACTTTCTTTGAATAAACTGTTCCAATAAACAGGAAGGGGAAGCTGGAGGATAAGTTAGCTACATAAGTAAATATTTTATGTTTCTTGAGTGCCCTTTTCTGAAAGTCTATTTATACCTTACAGTCTGATGGACTGTAATTTTTTTTTTTTTTAAAGATTTTATTTATTTATTTGACAGAGAGAGACACAGCGAGAGAGGGAACACAAGCA